TCAGGCAGCGTGGAACCTTGATTTCTTGTAACAGCGGCAGCTCTGACAACCATTGTTTCCACACCACCAGCTCCTCGCCAGTCAGCGGCTCGTCCCAGCTGCATCGCAGGGTCCACAGACGTTGGACGAGCAGCTTTGCTCTGAGCAGGAATGGTGAGACGATACCCAGAGGGTCGAACACCATTGAGAGTCGCCGTAAGACTCCGCGCTTGCTCGCTGCTGCGTCGACTTCACGAGATTTCACACACAAGACGTCTTCCTCTGGACTCCAGAAGCAGCCCAGGGCACGCTGTTCAGCTTGTCCGAGGCATGACAGGTCCAGTTTGCTTGAGCTTCGCTCTTCTGCTGAGATACTCATCAAGACGTCCGAGCTGTTGCTCATCCACTTGGTTAAGTGGAATCCACCCTTGGCCACCAGACTCGTTATTTCTTTCTGCATTGTCTTCGCCTTGGACACGCTCTTTTCCGACTTCAAAAAGTCGTCCATGTAGAAATTTCTTGTCACTGCTTTGGCAGCTTCACGTGACTCCGCATTTTCGGTCACGTGATCTTCAGCTGTTCTGCGCAGAACGAAGTTCGCCAAGGTGGGGCTACACTTGGCTCCAAAGATAACAACCTTCATCTGATACATGTCCGGAGGCCTTGTCTTGTCCATATTCCTCCAAAGGAAGCTGAGGGCAGGTTGATCTTCTTCGCGGACCTTGACCTGGTGGAACATCTGTTCCACATCTGCTACCAGTGCTATGTGTTCTTCACGGAATCGAATCAACACTCCTACCAGATTTTGGAGCAAATCTGGTCCCGTCATCAGTGCTTCATTGAGTGACATGTCGCACCACTGAGCTGCAGCGTCGAATACGACTCTGACCTTTGGTTTCGCTGGGTTCACCACTGCATGATGAGGGAGAATCCAACGTTTCGGGCAGTGCTTTGCCTGTTCTTCTGTTGTTACCTTTCTTGCGTGGTTATTGGCGACATAGCCCATCATCTGAACTTCGTCTGACCGCCAGAGTAGTCCAACTTCATATCGATCCCCGTGGTTACAGATCGTGTTCTCTATCATCTTCTCAGCACGGTCATCTTCTTGTGACCGCGATGAGCCCTCAAACTTGGTTCCGAACGATTCAGTCGTCCACCAATCCTGAAGACAGGTGTCATCTTTGTCTATGAGAGCTGACTGAAAGAGGACGTTTCGGAGGTGTCCAGGTACCAAATCAGCTACTGTTCCGGTAAGCGTCCATCCAAACGCAGTGCGAATGCCGGTGGGCTGACCGGGCTTGCCCACTCTCACTTCGAGCTGAAGAATGGCTTCGAGAACGTTAGCACCAAGCAGTAGCTCAACTTTGCCATCACAGTTGGGAAGCTGCACGTCCTGCAAATGCTTCCAACTTGAGCGCTTCTTTACTTGTGGCACCGTCACTTTGATATCTTTCACAGAAAACACTTCTGGAACTGTGATAATGCTACCGTTGTCAGCCGACAGCACCTTCAGCTGCAATCGCTTGGTGTGTTGCGCCGGCCCACAGCCTTCCACGTTCTGCAAGCGAAGCAGCTGGCTTTCACCTGACAGTCCGAGGTCTTCAAGCACATCTTCGCAACACAGCGAAGTCTGCGAGCCAGGGTCGATCAGTGCACATACTGTCTTCTGTTTTCCATCGGTTCCCAGTACCGTGACTGGGACGAGCTGCAGAAGGGTAGTTCTCTGGTCTCGCTCTCCTGAGCTGGCCACTACCCGGGCGGTCGCGCTGCTGCCACTATCTGTAGCTTTCTCGTTGGTAAAACTTGTCGAATCGCGCTTGATCGGCTTACTTCCGTGCAGAAGCCTGTGATGGCGCAGTCTACATCCATCCATGCCGCAGGACTTAGCGAACTTGCAATTTTTTACTGCATGGTTCCTTTTCAGACAGAAAAAGCAGAGCCTGGCACTAGCTACTAAAGTCGCCCTCTCATCGGCCGTCTTCTCCAGGAACACTGGACAAGCCGTCAGCTGGTGTTTTTCATCGCAACAAATGCACGGATATCGCCTGGAAGTTTCTGCATTAGTGACGAGAGCTGTTCTCTGCATGGCTGAGCTACGTTCGTCGCTGATCTGTGGTCGTCTTCTCTCGGTGACCCTCTTGGCTCCTTTAGACACTGCCGCATAGTTCAGTGCAACCCTTACTTGCCTCGGAAGCCACGTGTCAAACTGTATGAGGCTGGGCCTCGCGGGCTCAATGTCCATCACGTGCTCTCCCCAGTCGCGCTTTAGCTCAGATGGGAGCTTCTCCACTGCTCTCCTGAGATTCTCAAAGCTGTGCAAGTCACCGTGATACCCTAGCTTCTGAAACACGGTGACGGCGCAGTGCACAGTGGCGTGGAACTTCTCCAGCGACACCGGATCCAGGTACGTCGGAGAGGGGCATCCAAACATCGCTTGAAGGTTGGCGGCTACTACATCCTCCTCTCGTCCGAAGCGGTCCTCTAGCGCTCGAATGGCGTCTGCATACAGGGCCCCATCGTACATCATACCAGCTATGGTGCGCTGTGCGAGTCCAGTGACAGCTGATTGCAGATGGGCCATTTTCTCGGTTGCTGACAGCGCCCTTTGGTCATGGACAAGCGACTTGAAAAGAGCGAACCACTTGGGCCACTCGGCGGGTTCACCGCTGAATTTGTACAGCGTCAGTCTTGGGAGGCTCTGTGCAAACAGCTGCGACGGATCCTGATTCGATGGGCGATTGACAGGGAGGTTCAATCCCGGGTCCAATGGTGCGGCAGCCTCACAGGCGCTGGCTCCGGCTTGCTGCCTCGCTGAGTCTGTTTGAGCTGAGGATTGATTACGGTCCTCGTCAGTTTGCTGCTGGCTATTCATTGTCATCGGCGCTTGGGGTAACTCTTCACTGAAATCGTGCCGTCTCTCCCAGTTTAGGCCATCTTTTACAGCCATCGTCAGTTGCGCTTGCAGTTCCGCTGCAGCTTGAGCGTCTTTCGCCTCTTGAAGGCGACGTTGGCGTTGAAGCTCTTGTTCTTGTCTTTCTTGCTCAAGTCTTCGCTCTAGCTGTGCGGCTTCCAGTCTCTTTACTTGAGCGTTAACCTGGGCCTGCCGTGACATGGTGGATACCGCTGAAACTTGTGACCCAGTCGCAACTGATGCGGGGTCTCCCTGCCTCTCGCGCAGATAATTTTCGATGCGGCTAACAGCTTCCTGATGCTGGATAGACGCATCTTCACAGTACTTCAGAGCTCGCTCCTTTTCCTCTTCTGATTCCAACGTGTTCACGTATTCATCCGTGACGTTTTCTACAGCATGAAGCACTTTATCCATGTCAATCAACAACGACGATAGCTGCGTACGGCTCCCTCTTGCATCGATGATTACGAAGGCGCTGCGTCGGATTCTTGTCAAGTTGCTTAGAAGTCTTGCACGATTGCGCTTGATGTCGGGAGACATCGTGTTTCCAAAACAATTCAATCAGAATTACGTTAATCACAAATCAATTATGTATATTATTTCTGACTGAAGTTTAATCAATTTGCTCAAATTACCATGTAGCTAAATGTCAACATTAAAACGTACAATCAATGTGATGGTTGTCTTGCAACCGCCTCAATAAGCCTCACTTAAGTTAAGCTTACGTTTAGCACGTATTCAGTCGCAGGCAAGCGAGCTTGACATTTGTTTAAGATGAGCAAATCTTTACATTTAAATATTTTCATCACTTATTTGTTTTAACATGTTTGACTGTTCTCGTACCGCGTTTGCAAATTGTTGACGCACCGTCTATAAACAAACCTTGTATATTAAACGTTACATTTGACACTAAGTTCGTAATATTTGTTTGTCGTATACGACACATACGACACACATATACGATATACGACACACATATACACATATACGACACACACATATATGTGTGTGGTCAAACATGTTAAGCCTTCTACGGCTACGAGAAAAGTAACCTTTCTCTTTCAAACTGCGATGAATTTTCTGAGGTCAACAAACTCTCGTGCCGTTAAATAACAACTCGCTAGTCGATACTGTACCCGCGATAAAGAAAATCGCGACACATAACAAATTTGGCATTTTAAACCAATAATTTTGTTTTGTGTATTGTGCAGCAGGCGTGATTATTACGCTCCATTTTGGAAAACGTGCCAGCAACCTCTATAACAGCACACAACATTTTTGCTGCAGCACCTTTCATTCGACTCATGTGACATGTCATTAAGCTGCACTCGGAGGTCCAGTCGGCCCGTCGCCAGCCTTGAGTTGCGGTCTCTAATCCCAATTAATCATTACCGGCGATGGCCTGGAGGCCGGCGGCACTAACCCAAGGAGAGCTAGTACATCCTGACCAGCCATGTGTCGGGAGTCGGACGGTTCCACACCGCCGCGAGATCGGCAACAGAAAAATGACACGCCAACTAATACACACCGGTGCTTACACTCTTATCCATCTTGCCTCACAAAATAAAATACTTCAGCCCTTTATGCAGGAATGATACAATAGAATGAAGTCAGCCGTTTTCACGACGGCTATCTGGTATACATGTGGTGTAGCTTAGGTGCAGATTTGGTGAGGATTTGGTCAAATTAGGTTAAGTCTATTTCTTAGTAGCTTTCAGCTAGGGTTGCACTAATTGCTTATACACCTGCCTTGTCATATCATCAGACATTATCATCGATCAAAACACTGAAATAAATTAATTATATGAAGATATTTGTAATCAAAGAGATCAGGTGCAGATTTGGTGAGAATTAAGTGTATTCGACAGAGAACCCGTCGTGAAAACGGCCGTCGTCCATTCTGTAAAAGCGTAATGCTTTCCCATGGTGCTGCCGAGTTCAGCTGTATGAACATATATTGTATAACTCACGATGACGTGGTGGTGCCCCAATTACCAGACAGGTACCGATTAGATCAGTGCGTTGTGACTTCTGTTTTCAATCTGTCGCCTACTAGGTACCCTGCTGAAGGTCAGGTCAGGTCAGATCAGGTCAGGTCACGTCAACTCACTCGGCCTGATAGGTGCCCTCCTCCGGGTCGATCTGGAAGTCATTGCGGAGAATCTCGGCGTCTCTCTCCGACTGGGCGGTGGCCATCGCCACCAGACACAGCAGAACGGTCTGAAATCGACAGCACAAATCAGCCCTCAGCACAGCAGTCTGGAGCGGCAGCACAGATCAGTCCTCAGCAAAGCAGTCTGGAATTGGCAGCGCGGGTCAGTCTACAGCACAGCAGTCTGGACTCTGGAGCCAGCAGCACGGTCAGTGATAACAGTCTGAAACGGCAGCGCGGGTCAGTCCAGTGAAGCCTGTAGCGCACGCCTGCGCTATCGTAATGTAACATGCATCTGGTACTGCGCACGAAAATAATCTACATATGAGGTCACATATAACTTGAGAAGCGGAAGATGAGATGTTCTTGTTTCGGATAAATACCATCAGTTGTTTTCTTCTGATGATTATACACATAAAGCGTCATGTATCCGCAAAGGACCGTATTTCTCTCTGATCAGGCATTAGCTCACCCTGACAGGGGAAACTGCAATGAATTTTGAGGACAACTGACGCCCATTGTCCAGCGGGGCAAACAAAGCAGCTCAATGTGCACGCCACATGGCTTGTGATGCGGAAAGAAGGCTCATCCGCTTTCATTCGGCTAGTTGTGGTTTCTAGGCAGGTAATGGCAAAAAGGTTATTGCTCCCATCATTTTCAGAAATGCGAGACATTCAAGCGCTGCCACCTAACATGAATGGAGCATTGCATTAGACGAATTTTGAGGAAAGAATTGCTGTTTGATACGTGCATTGCGCTTTACGGTTGTCATTTATTACCTTTGGAGTTTTTTTTTTACTAAACAAAAAAATCTCAGTTTGACCTGCGCCGGATTAGCACGGTCAGGTCATAACGCCCGGAGGCTAAAGGGAGGGGCTCGTTTTTACGCTTTCCTCTGACTCGGTTCCTTGGGCGCGAAGCGACACGTGGTGTCACTTTAAACCAAAAGTTCCCAAGCTAGACATTATTGGCTTACACCTCGTGAAATGATAGAGGGATAAGGACACATAGCAGGCAATTTATACCTTTTCAAAGGTCGTTTGTTCACATTTTCACTAATCTGAGGGTCAAGGTTTGCAAATATTGTTTTACATGCAAATATAAACAGGTCGAGGCACTAAAGGCGGCACAAGGCGGCTGGGAGTGGGACTTTTTTTTGCCCCCCCCCCCCCCTCCAGACTTTGCAATATATCTCCAGAACCGCTGCGCCGATCGTCACCAAACTTTCAGTACTCTCCCGGGCATCAATTTTACACATTGTGACCAAAAAAATTCCAAAAGCTGTGATAGGTTTACAGCAAATGACGTCAGAATGACGTCATGTTCTGCCGTTTTCGAACCAAAAAAAGGTTTCGCGGGCTCCACCGGGACAAGAAACTGGCGGGGGGGGCGATTCGCCCCCCCCCCCTTCAGATCTCAAAAACTACACATCGCAGCGACAAACGGTAAACGGCATCGGATATGCACGGTCAAGATCTACAATTTTTACTAAGGTCATTTTCAGGTCAGGTCAAAGATGACGTCACAGGGGTCGAAAAAGTCCAAATGGCGGCGCTAGGTATGGAGAGAGTTTTTCTCGAATAACTTTCGAATTAGTCAAGATAGGAACAAACTAAGGGCATCATCGTGATTCTCTCGTCAATCCGCATCGAATGATATAGATGTTGACCTCGAAAGGTCAAGGTCAAAGGTTGACCTCAGGTCACGTGACCTCGAGGTCATCATGTATATCATTCGATGCGTCTTGACGAGCTGAACACAATGAGACCATCCACGCGTCTGTATCTTGTTCCTGTACGGAGTTATTGGCCAAAAACCTTTGGTGACCTTTGATGACGTCACATGACCTCACAGCTGCCCAACAGCAAAACAGACCTCAAGGTAGTGAAGGTTGATCGTATATGAAGTCATGTATGGTATATGGGGCCATTCCGACCCGTTTTAGTGGTAAAAACAGGGAGTTGATTTTTCCCCCGTTGACTTATAATGGGGAGGTCGCGAAACTGACCTGACCTTAGGTCACCGATATCAAAATTCCGAGATATACAAATTGCACATACTGGTACCCTAACTAAGGCCTGAAGAAAAGAAATTGATCGGTCAAAAACTCTAGCTCTGGCGTGATTGCAAACTTTTCTGAGGTAGGGTCACCAAACCGCCTCTGGTGACCTGACCTGAGGTCAGATCAACTCAAAATTTTCAGACATGTTGCGTAGAAGCCTTTTAGGAAAAGTCAGAAAATTTGAGCTTCCTAGCTCAACGCGTTTGGGAGAAATAACCAAAAAACCTCAGGGGGGGGCTCCTGAGGCCCCCCCCGCCAGGAATAGGGTTAAAACATAAAAAGTGTAGAATTAGTAGGACTAAAAAAATGCTATCTCGGAAATTTGATTTTTTTAGATTTTGAAAGGAAAAAATTTGAACATTTTTGCCAAAAACGAAACAAAACATAATTGCCAAGAGATTCAAAAAGTTTTTCGATTTTCGCAAAAAACAAACAAACAGAATATATGTGATGTGATAGCTCTTACCAACTTCTACTTAGATACCAAATTTTAGATCGATACCTCTATTTTGGCCAAGTTAGAGCGTAAAACTGTTCAAAAATGATGACGTAAAATTTTCCAACTCAATTTTTAGCAATTCTAGACCGCGTAGCGTAAAACAAAGACCACAGACCACCATTAGACTCGCCGTGACGAGCTGCATCGAATCAATACCCATCTTATGCAAAAATATCAGCTTTGAAATTTGACCTTTTTTACCTGACCTTGACCTGACCTCCACCAGAAAGTTACCTAAACCGTTCCTGATGGTCTTATAACCAACACCATTGAGTTTGAAATGAACACTACTGTTATTTTATCCATGGTTTCTCCAACTAACCCGCGCCCCACTGGGGTCTGTGTATAACACGCCCTACTGGGGGGGGGGGGCTATTCATAGCCCCCCTCCTAACTCCGAAACTACTGGGCCGATCGTCAAAATTCAAACGGCGTCTGATAGCCCCGGAAAAACTGTCGAGCGAAACCTAATTTCATTGACCTCGAGGTCACCGATGACGTCACAGGTCAGGTTAAAGTAAAAATTATTAGCACTTTGGCTTGTTCACATTTTGGGCTCTGGCCGCCGTCTTACAAGTCAGATCAGGCTCATTTTTGGTTTCCACACTCGTGAGCAGATGCTCTAGATACCTTGAGGGTACCAAACTTGTACTTTGATTTTCAGGTCAGGGTCAGGTCATCACAGGTCACGAAAATATTATATCATGCGTCGGTCACGTGACACATGTTTCATGGTCCATTTAGGCCATAGATTTCGAATTTGATGTCGTCTGTGTCATTCGAGGCCATTTTGAGTCGAATTTAGCTTAGGTCAGGTCACTTTCAGGTCAAAAAAGGTCAAATTTTGAAGTTGAGATTTTTCAACAAAAAAGGTGTCTATTGGATGCAGTTTGAGCTCAGAAACACGATGGTGCCATTTATATTGGTGTACGATGTCAAATACGTACTGAAAAATTGATTTGAAAAATTAATAATTGTGAATTTTTTGCAATAATGCGTATAACTTGGCCATTTTTGAAGATATTTAGCTAAAACTTGCTAGAATTAGTCATAATCATGCGTTTTGTCACATATATTCCGTTTTTTTCCGAAAAGTCAAAAACTTTTTGAAAAAAATATAAAAATATAAACTTTGAATATTATTATATAAAATTTTCAAACTTTTCAAAATTTTGAAAATCCGAGATAGCAGTTTGATAGCGCGGTCAATTCTGAGTCCTTTCATGCAAAGAAATTGGATCTAGCTTAAAAACTGAGCTCTTGGGAGCGATTGCCGTGGTTCAATGTTTTGCGTCGAAATCGGACGAACATGACGTCACTCTGACGTCATTTCCGGCCGACCTATGGCAGCTAGGAAGTTCAAATTTTGACACAAGGTGTCAAATTGATGCAGCCGAAGGTACTGAGAGTTTGGCGTCGATCCGTCAAGCGGTTTGGAAGTTATTGAAGAAAAACGGGAGGGGGGCTATAAATAGCCCCCCCCCCCCCAGTGGGGCGCGGGCTAACTAGCAGCACACAGTCATTCTTTGTTTCCACCACAGATGCACATCCTCTAAGTATATGGACGTGTTCCCCAATGCCCAGCACGGCACCACCCTCTGGCCCCTGGTCTCACCGTTCTCATGGTGACTGCTGTGTTCGGACGGTGCGCTGCTGACAGACCTCACTGGCTACTGTGCCGACGCGACCGGTCCCGGCCTTATATTGGCGTCCGAAAACCGTCACCGATCGCCGCTCATGTCGACAATGCCTCGCAGTGGGGAGGGGAGATGCCGTCTCATTGCAGAGGCTGACGAGATGAAATACGTGATCAGAAACTACATACTTGTAGTTGTAGCGGCCGGTTATGAAAAGTAACATCGCAATGCGCTTGATCTCGGAGATATGCGAAATGTAACAGGCATCCGAGTGAAATGCAGGTCAATGGGCTTCTATTTTGTTTAGATTAGCACAATAGCATTTTTGATTGTTTTGATTGGCAGCGTCATCATGCATACAGATGATGTTCAACGTGGAATTCAATAAATGCGATGACAAATCCCAGCCTGTAGTTTGCTTTTCTCATTCTTGACCCACTTACATCACAGATATAAAGTATATTTTTGGTAGGATTACCTATTACCTTAGCTGATATGCATTTCATTAAATATTATGATTTTTTTATAAATTTAGTCTGAACCTTTTGATGGGAAGGATTCACAAGGACAGAGCCACCGCTAAGCGAAGCTTGTTGCGATGACCCTGCCCTCTATAACCCTCCGATCGCGCAATTCCGATTCTATGGCAGCAGAATTTGGAGTCCAAAGTTTAACGTGCGCACAAAGCCGCGCACGGCCGGTCCCCTCGCTGACTTCGCCCGGCTACGGCCTGCCACCAACCGCAACCATACCTGTCAGGAGGCCCATAAATGTCTAGCGCCCGTCGCGCTTCGAACCCGGACTGTCATAACCGGGATCGCGTGCTCTCACCACGCGGAGTCCAACGCTCTAACCAACTGAGCTACGGGGCCGGCATAAATTGATGATGATGATAAAATATGCATTGATGCACATGAATGACGGCTCATGAGAGCCTGCATTGGCCGCTAAAAAATCGTTCTGACACCAAAGCACCGTACCACTTGAACTCAGACCAATGGCGACCCACAGCAATGACGTTAGGTAGGTATTTATGCTTTCATAGATGGACAATTGGACAGCGCACACTCCATAAGAGCACATGAGAGCCTACTGAATGAAGAAAGACTCGGATACCACCAATTAATGACGATAAATTGCCCTTCATAAGCAAAGTGCACTGGCATGGTCTGTGCTTCCCATGTGTACAAACAACAGGTTGACTCTGGTGCAGCAAAAAAGCGGCATTTGGTTGGAAAGTTCTATGCAGCCGGGCAGCAGTCGTTGGGACGTGGTCAATGGTCATCCCTCTGAGTTGGTGGGACTATCGTCTGCTGGAGGAGCTTGTCGTGTCGGCGTGGTCAGAACTCTGCGGGCCCAGGTCACCCTACCGGCTACTAACTCTCTGGGAACACCTCCGCCAGTTCCAACCGCACGAGACAAAGCAGGAGCCCGAGCCGCCTCGACGAGCCCCGTGTCGCCGCTCATCCTGCTAGCTCTTCAAGCAGCAGTGGCCGCCGCGGAGTGAGAACTTCCTCTTAGTCCTGCGGGTCGTGGAGTACGCCGATATGATCGCCGAGGTGCTCACGTTGATGGTGCAGTGCGTCGCTGGTGCAGAGTACGACACCGAGGACCCCCCCCCCCCCACCCACATGGTTCAGACTTGGCCCCATACGGTGTGGACTGGAGAAGCAATTGGTCTGAGCTCCGGCGATATGACTCACATGGTCACACAGTCACACAGTCACAGTCACAGTCACACATCCACTCACAGTCACAAGCACACAGCCACAGTCAACCACACCGTCACACAGCCACTCACAGTCACACAGTCACTCACAATCACAAGCACACAGCCACAGTCAACCACACAGTCACACAGTCACACAGTCACTCACAGTCACACAGCCATTCACAGTCACGCCCCGAAGTCGGAGGGACGGGACGGTTCTCGTCGGCAGTCACCGGTATCATCTGGTCATGGCGGCCCTGCGGTCCATCCGCCACCGTTTGAGCGCAATAAACCCGCAACGGGACTGCTGAATGTCAACTGCTATTGTCGTCAAACGTACAAAACAAACGTAAGTCGGTCAGAATGGGCCGATTTTTGTGTTTGGAGCAGTGAGATCCGTTTCAGAAATGGGTGCCTAGGTTTGACATACACATTTTTGACATTAGTATGTTGCTGTAAGGAAAAAATAGACATGCGTCATTATCGAATTAGTTAATTTAATTAGGACAGCCTGAAGTTTAGATTAGTTCATTCCCTGTGGCCCGTTATCTTGCTAACGATGGAGGGCGCCTGCGCGGCGATCGCTCCCGGATGTCATCTGTAATCCGTCTACACAGATCGACTGGCGACCGCACAGACGTTTAAACACTTTTCAGCCTTGAAAAGTGTGGGAACCATGAGGGTGGGTGCTAAAAATGGCCCTAAAAATATTGATTGACAGTCATGGATCTGGAAAGATAGACATCTATTGGATGATATATACTAAACGTTTACAGATGATGGGAGTTCGAGTCCCGAGGACAGCCTTGGTGACGTAATGACGATCCGGGTGGTAGGGGTGACTCAGTTAACCCGCGCCCCGCTGGGGAGGGGGGGGGCAGAATCTGCCCCCTCCCGTTTTTCGCCAATAACGTCTAAACGCGTCACGCCAGCGACGTCAAACTTGCAGTACCTTATCATACATCAATTTGACACGTTCCCTGAAAATTTGAGCGAAATCCGTCAGAAATTTTTTGAGAAATTGATGTTTTAGTGACGTCATGTTCGCCATTTTCGCCTCAAAAACGGCAAAATTTCAAACGCCGTTAGCATCTTCATTTTTAAAGATATCAAGACGTAACAAAAAAGGTTATACGTGATTCCACTTTTTCTATCAAATGGACATCTCAGTTTTTTGAAAATGTTGGATTTTGGCCCAAAATTTTTCAAGAAACTGACTTTTTTGGGAAAATGGTTATAAAATCCAAAATTCTGAGTGTATCGAAAAAAAAAATGAATATATGTCAGAGAAGTGATCATTGTGCACCTACATACCAAATTTTAGAAGAATCGGTTCAAAAATGTGGGAGTTATTCAAAATTTTATGACGTCACGACAAACAAAATTTTTGAAAAATGATTTTTTGGAAGTTCTAGACCTCGTACGGAAACAAAAATAGCACCATTCGATTCGTCGTGAAAAACTGCATCAGATAGACACCTTTTAAGGCCTTAACAACCAACTTCAAAATTTGACCTCACTTGACCTGACCTTGACCTGACCTCGACCTTAAATTAATCCAGAGGTAGTCCATATCACTTATTGAGTGTGCCTATTGAATTCTATGAGTAAAATGACCCATAAAACATGTGTCGCACATGCCCTTTTCTATATTTTGTTTTTGGTGACCTGACCTGACCTGACCTGACCTTGACCTTGACCTTTGAATGACATTGTATGCAACGAATATTGTCTTGGTAGTCTAAGAACACGTTTTGGGCAACCAGTCTCAGTCCATTCTTCGGCAACTACGGTGCAAGGCCGATACTGTAGAAACTTGCATTTTGTACCCTTGACCTGACCTTGACCTGACCTCTGACTTACTTAAGCAAAAAAACTGGGCTCTTAAGATCCGCCTTGTTGAGAGCTTTCGATTGCCGTTTTCCCCGTCTTTCTACGACCATCGGTTTGGAAGTTAGACAGGGGGGGGGGCAGAATCTGCCCCGCCCCCCCCAGCAGGGCGTGTATGGCTGAATAGCCCAGCGGGGCGCGGGTTAAAGGGACCCCCAGGCTAGAGTGCTCTGGACTATTGCTACTATAAGACCTATCAGAGTACAAACTTATTGATAAGTGATTTAATAATATTTGAATTCGAAAAAAATAATAATAATATTTAACGAGCGACCGGGCGAACTTATCTAATTCTAGTTTAAGAAAAATCGCAGTATAAGCGGCCGGTGCAGCCACTACGATTTTATCCTATCTCGGGGACAAATCGAGTGATCAACAAAAAGTCTGCCGAATCAGACATAATCCCATAAATCATGAAGTTTATTGCATTTTACGTATATGTATTACTGCCACGACACGGCGTACTCGCTTCGGGGGGGGGGGGGGGGGCAATATTTGTTTATTATTTGTTTATGTGTTTAATATCACCAAGACACCCACAGGCACAAAGAGCCCACTTACGGATGCAGTCACATAACTAAAAAGGCAATCGACAAAATGCACGAACACATGCATAAAACTGAAAACAGAGGCTGTAGTTTAGGTATTCAATCAGCCAATGTAGCTGCCCAGAGTACGGGCGTATGTACGTCAAAGCCTCACTCCGAAATGATGCAGACGGGTGGTGGACGGGTGGACGGGTGGTTACGGCGGCAGCATATGCCCCCCACCCCCTGTGGTGTTTCCTGAATAGTGCGCCGCCAAATTGTCTTTACCTTCCCGGGCATCAATATGATACCTTCACACAAAATTTCAAGGTTAGGTCACCCTAGGTCAGGAGTTATTGAGGTCAAACTGAGGTCATGTATGAGCAAAAATGAGCAAAAAACATGAAATATTGAAACGCTCACAATTGCTACAGTTTACAAGCAATGTCAAAGTTTTATGTGGTCGTGTGGAAGAAAAACGGCGCTACAAAAAGTTCGTTTTCGGATTGTCACAATTTTGTGATTTTGGCCCCCCAATAAATAAAAAAATTTGTTTGATAAAAAAGCAAAAAGTCTCATTTTTCGAATTAAATCTCCTATCTCCATACCAAATTTAGATCTAGATAGAACTAAATTTAGATCTCTTTGGCCAAGTTATAGCGAAAACAAACAGTTCAAAATTGATGAAGTCAAATTTCTGAAGTCATTTGCTAGCAATTCTGGAGCACGTAACGTAAAACAAAGACTACCATTAGACCCCCCGTGACGAGCTGCATCGAATTGATACCCATTTTATGCAAAAATATCAAGTTTGAATTATGACCTAACTTGACGTGACCTTGACTTCACCTTCACCAGATCATAACCTAAGCTGGCCCGCAGTGGAAGGGGGGGGCGGATTTCGCCCACCCTCCTGTTTTTCGCCAATAACTCGCGCCGCAAGCATAATATCAATGTGAAATTTCGGCTACCTGTCCAGAATTGAATTGCGGATCTTCTCGTGCAAGAAGTAAGA